GGAGAACGGTAAGGGATTTTTACCGTTCGAAGACAATTGTTTGGAGGAGGAGCGAAGCGACGACTCCAATTATTGTCTGAGAACGGTAACCCTTAACGTTCGACGTGCTTATAACATTTTTTGCGCGATCGAGATTAAAATTATAAATATGCACTAAATTAACGAGCAAAATAAATCGAAATGATCGAAGTGGTATGGTGTACATCACTAGGTAACCAGTCAAAATTGAAATTAATAATTTCATAAACTTGTGCATGTGCCGATGTAGTTTGCTAGCTTTGCACTTCCTTTATGACTTTATGAGCGAGGTATTCCCCGGTGGCCGAATGGTATGTCGAAGATTCTTTACAGAACAAAATTGTAATTGGAATGTGTTAAGAAAAACGAAAGCGCATCTTCAAACACATTGATCTCTATTGCTTCAGGTTTAAATGAAGAACGTGTTCTTTCTATAGGAAACAACAGCACAAATTGTAGGTTTAATGTAACAATAGTTAAAGATTAAATGTTATGTAAGACTGTTGATTTTGAACTGATTGTTTTTAAAAAGGCTTCGGTAAGTATTTTTGCTGTTCTGTTTTAGATCGGTAAGTAGTTTTGGCGTCGTCGTAATCACAGCAACTGGTAAATTCTACGTACTGTCATGGAAACACACATGGTAAATAGTCAGAAATGACCAATCGCGCAAAAACAAATTTTAACAGTGTTTCTGAAAATGAATGCAATGAAATGTTGCTTTTAAATGTAGTTTTTGTGGGTTGAAATAATTTTCAGTGAGGTCACTCTACTGTGGCTCTCATTTATTTTGACCGTTCCGTGACGTTTTAGTATTTTACGCCATTGTGTGGGCAGGTGAGCTACACAGCAGTATAAACCTCCAATGTGTAAGCCTTAAGTTTAGCTTTTCGGTTACCCTGAGTACGGTTTCGGATAACTAGGCACCGGGACAACTAGGCGCTGGAGCAACTAAAGGCGTGGGCAACTTGGCACCAACACATTGATGAAGCAAGTACTGGTGGTAGCAACCGTGAATTATATTAGTCATCTACAGTTTTTTTTTTGGGGAAAAGTATGGTTTTAGATAACAGGAAGCAATTAGTTCAAGCATTAACCCCTCATACACTTTGACCAGTGGATCAAAATATGAGGGACGGAATGAATTATTTAATGCATCTATGTCTAGCTCTCCGTTGTTTGTCCTATCCTGGCAACTATAGTGCTACTAAAAAAAACAACCACTCAAGCGGGTCGATTTGAACTGTTCTTACAACATTTACAATGGAAATAATTTTTATAGTAAATGATCATTTGGAAACACGTAGGTACATTCATAATGAAAATCAATATTGTTCACAAACGATCAAATAAATGGACTCTATAAACTGGTCGCATTCGTTGAAAACACACCGACCGCTCACAGAATTCAAATAAACGTAATCAAGAGCTCGACAAGCCTACCGTGCACAATTTATTATTTATTTTATTAAATACAAATCGCTGGTAGAACGGTAAATAAATACCTAGAGACCTTCTCCTTTGATTTTAGATTCGACGGCTGCGAATTCGAACTGCTACTGTTTCTCAATGCTGCAAAACACTTTTATTTACAGACTATACCTCTTACTCGCGTATAAATACAGAACGTCCACTTGCATCGGATTCTTTCAGTTCAATATAAAACATGGTACAATAAGTATATTTTAATTTAATTCAAATTACGTCCTTTAAGTTTACCTTGCACAAGATTAAGTAGATAAACATGTTTCCTTTTGATTTTCTTGATGACACTTCTATTAAAGAGAGCTCTATCCAGAAGAATTCTAGAACAAACTGTTACACAACCAATAGGTATGTATTACACAACACGATAAAGGGATGTTTTAATCATCGAGTAAATTAACTTTCGCAAGATGGTTGGTTTCCCTTTATTGCCCTGTATAATACAAATATTTATTTTACAGGGTGACAATTTGAAAACTTACCACCCCCCATATCTTAGTAAATAAACGAGATATTTAAAAAAATCAAAATCCGTTTCGGTAATTTGGAGGGGGAACCACAATGACATAGTTGGCGACGCACCCCCTCCAACCCCCTGCGCCCCAGCCACCCCAACTTTTAAATCTTAAATAGTGACCCCCCATGTGTGATACGTCGTTGGAAAGCTCTGAAAAAATGCTTTCCAACCATACCAAATAGCATTACATTTAGGTTAGTAATTATCGTGCAAATCAAAAAATAAACATGGAAAATCGTATTTAACTTGAACTTCCAAAGCCGACTTGACAGCACTCATTTTTGATCGCCAGTTATAATCTATTCTCAAACTCTTGTCGAACCTTTTCAAATGTTGGTTTTGCAATATTTCGACATTCTTGAATTATTCTCTGTCTTAGTTCGTCTATGTTCGCCGGTTGCGTTTTAAATACGACAGATTTCAAATGTATCATATTAGTTTATTTTTTGATTTGCACAATAATTACTAACCTAAATGTAATGCTATTTGGTATGGTTGGAAAGCATTTTTTCAGAGCTTTCCAAAGACGTATCACACATGGGGGGTCACTATTTAAGATTTAAAAATTGGGGTGGCTGGGGTGCAGGGGGTTGGAGGGGGTACGTCGCCAACTATGTCATTGTGATTCCCCCTCCAAATTACCGAAACGGATTTTGATTTTTTTTAATATCTCGTTTATTTACTAAGATATGGGGGGTGGTAAGTTTTCAAATTGTCACCCTGTATAGCAGAACCAATATAGATTATTATAAAACTTCTGAAAATTTTTAATTTCTGTTTTGAACTTCATTTTGTTTCGTGCTCCGCATTCCATTTTTAATAAGAATTGCAGATGTCATTAGAATGCACAATCATTTGTTTATCTACCCTTGCCGTTAGAACTGTTAAAAAGAGATTAAGCCTACTAATTTAATGCTATTAAAATGTCAATTCAACATCTGCTATAAAACAAATAGTCTGCATAATCGGTTACCAATCATTGACAATACTTGAAGAGCCAAAACTTGCTTATGTATTCAACAATAAACCGGTTAAATGTATTTTCCTCTCTGAATAAGACGGCACCTAATTACCGTTACCCAGCAAGCAAACCCGAACAAGTATCGAAGTAGGGGTAACTTTAAACATTTACACTTAAATTAATCGGCAAATTAGTCAGTGAAGAGGTGACAAAAGTATGATTATTCTACTAATTATATAAAGTATAATCAAATATCTGGCAATTCCTCTTTTCTATTAAAGTACAAGTCGATCTGGTTGATAAGATTGACGAACACAGGTGCACAAACTTGTAGTTAACCATTTACCCAAAATTTATAACTCGAAATTACTGACGTTATCTTTAAGTGGAACTAGTACAAAAGTAGGGCCATAAAATATTACAAGTGAAATTTCCACACAAAATTTGACCTACCTCCGTAAGAGCATTATTTGAAAAATAGTAATATGGCAACGAAGTAAATTAACTGAAATGTATAATGTAAATGTGATTAGAAAATGGCAATTTACTTACGTATCTACTTACTTAATTGAATTTATTAGTGATGGACAGAAACAAAACTTGAACGTGGCCAATTACAAAGTACTAGCAAGGAAGGAAACAAATTAGTGTAACATGAGCATTCAACATCTTGTATTAAAAAAGCACCCATATTTTTTAAATAATAATATACGTTTATTGACCCAATATCATATAAAAGAACTTAACGTTAAACTGAACCGGATATAACTGAAATATACTGTGATTCTCAAACAAACTGGAACTTAAATGTAGTCGTACATGAGAAAATCAAAATGTTACAAACTCACTAGTCTTTCAACTATTAATAGGTCATATAATTGAGAAACGAAAGTTTAGAATGTCAAGAAGTGAATCTTCCCTTTACAACTTCTTGCGGTTAATGGAAAGATTGTTGATTTCATTCAGAAACAGTGAGAACGCTTTCACCTGATGTCCAAGAAGTGTATTTTATGAAATAAAATTTACTTACATTTATTTTATTTAAATACGTAGTAATACTTGAAACAAATCATTGTGCATTCCAATGACATTCATATTCATATTAAAAATGGGACGCGGAGCACGAAATAAAATGAAGTTTCGAACAGAATACAATTGTTTCCATGAAAACGACAGAATGGCCTATTTTGGAGCGTCTAGTTTAAATATCTACAGAATTTTTAGCAATAATAAGCAACTATTCAATTACAAAAACAAGGTTTTGGGAAAATGCATTTCATATATCTGTTATAAATTTGTCAAAGATTTCAGTGGGTATACGTCATTTATGTCGTTTATCTTGCTTTTGTAAAAATCAATACCTATACTATACCAATTGTTTTCCATGTACTCGCTGCTTTATTCGAAGTTTAGTTATTTTACATTTTGTCCTCTGGCGCATTGAACTACAATTCGTAAAGCTCTCGTCGGTTTTCGATATTTCAACTTGAATGCTAAACATAAGCAAAAAATTTAGGAATTTGAGAAGATCGTTCTTCCCCCTCCCCCGATATAGTTTGTAAAGGACTGGAAAGGGTTGTATAATCACATAACAATACAATTGAAACGTGCCGACATCCCAAATTGCGATTAATTTGAATAGGGACACTTCCCACACGCGTGCGATGAATAAGACATTATCACGTGTTAAGTAGGTCAGAAGATTTTCCCATTTCAATTACGTAAATCAAATTTTGCCCTCCGACATGGTTCGTTAGATTTATGCAGATTCAGAATAAAACTATAATCCACCTTATAGACAAAACTTTTGCTTGCTTGCGTGCCTATTACCCTTTCTTCCAAGTCAAAACCGAACGGTACATGTAAAATATTCATTTGAACTTTGTTATTTAAAACTCAAACTGATTATAATTTTATACTCTCGAAATGAGCTACTTTTTCATCGTGAAAACATGAAAATATTTATGGTCACGAAGGACCTGTTACCGTGATGAAATATTAAACATTTAAATTCTATTTCAGACGTCGCGAACATCACAATGCAGGCGGCTGTGGACGATAACTCTGGAATGATAGACACGACAACAATTCAACTAAATATCGGCCCAAAATATCCACTAAACTGCGATTTAATGTTGCACGATTTATGCTTCTGGCAATCCGCTACTTACCGTATATTCGAAAATCGACAACCGACGGTAATTGGTTCGCTCAATTCACCTTACTTGGCAGAAATGTGCAAGGGATATAAATTAAGCTATGCATTACTGGATGGTAAGTGAGATGTTTAGCTTATTTAAACGGGGGCGGTTTTGCTTTTATATTACTTTCTGGGTATCCATGTCATAAAAAAGGCTTACAAAAGAAACCGTGGAGAGCCCTACAGTGACTTTACGTCGAAGTCACCAAGTGAACGCAGTAAATAGCAAAATCCCACTTGATTAAAAACCTTTTCGGTGAATTTCGAACAAATACACGTACACCCGATAAATTCGCTCAGATTTCGTTCATAAATATGCATACCTATATCGTTATCGATGTACAGATTTCAATTTAACAGCGGAACACAAATAAATTAGAGACGTTTTCAGGAGGAAATCAGTTTGACGTGGTAACACCCTCAGACATTAATAAATCGTGGGAGCTCCGTTCGCTGAAATCGCTGGACAGGGATGTGAATCGTTCAATGAAAGTGTTCAGCACACCGCTGAGCGAATCGGGCGAATATCGATACTTATCTGTGAAATGTGCTATTAAAAATCCTTCGGGCAAGATGCAAGATATAATGAAAAATATTACGATCAAGATTCTGGACGAAGATGACAATCTGCCGGCAACTGGTTTTCAAGGAGGATTCGTTGGTATACAGCTGGGAAATAACTTGCTGCAAAAGGTAGGTAGGAGATATTTATGTTTATCCACTTTTAATCGTATCACGACGTTAATTCGAGGCAGCCCCAAGGGTTGCAAACGTGATCGGCCTGCTTGAGTTAAGGGAAGTCCTCGTTAAGACTATCAAGGAATTCCCTTTCTCACGTGTCCAAAATCACTCAATTTCCTATTTACTATGCTTTCTAATTACTACCCCTACACCATAATAAAGATTGTCTATATTCGTCTGACGTAATTAACCAGGGAATCCGCCCTGTTGTTATTCTCAGATGCTATAATTGCATAGATACTAGCCTTTATCCACTTGGACGTGTCAAAATTTGAATTGGGAGTGGATTTTTGGAAAATCCACTTCTCAAAAATCACGACCAACTTCTCGAAAGCACCAGAAAATTTTTGAATAGTTCGATGTACTTATCACAATGTAAATACCAAAATCTGTTATAATGGGAGCCCTTCAATGGAGTTGATTTTTTTAAATTGAGAGTCGAATTCCATTAGGGTAGCTCAATGTTAAGTGGAGCGGTCTCTTTAAGGGATATTTTTAAATATCTGTTAAGTTGATACTTCCCAAAAGACTAGCAGTGCTTTTTATTTGTCAGTCGAAGGCAAGATGTGCCGTGAAATTTTTTGTTAATAGCCTGATAAAATTCAGTGGCCGATTTTAGTGCTTGATAAGCTTAGGTTCATTAAGCAAATTACATCAGGGTACATGATAAAGAAAGCGATGCGGCTTGTAAAAATAACTGTAAAGTTTGCAAAAGTGTAAAGGGCTGGAAGAGAGAGGAATGAATTAATCGGTCTTGAGCCGTCGTAAAGATCACGTTACAATAACATTTGAGCGCTGGAGCTTCTATGAGCTCAAGTCTAAGATTCCTTAGTCCAAATCGGAATAGTAGAAAATTCGGAAGATCAAAACTAACCCAATTTGTCATTTTGCGTGTGCAAATACAGTGTGGCGCAGTTCAGTTGAAACTGGACTGAGGTACTAAGGGTCTCTGGTTCGAATCCGGGTTCGGGCATAGATATATTTGTAAATATACGGGGTGGTGACTGGTGACTTGACGAACGCTCCATGGGAATTTCAATAGTAATTTTCGGTAATTTTTTAATTTTCGATTATTGGCTTCCCTAATTATTTTAGAAATAAAGTCTACTTAGGTTACGAATCCGTATATACTTTTGTTTCCTATTTTATAAATTCAGACAGTAAACATTTAAAAATTAAAAAAGTCAGTATTGCCTTGGAATTATTAAATTAAACAAAAGCGCCTATCGAAACTATCGAATAATTAAAAAAGTACTATGGGACTTTTTCCGCTCAGAAATCAAGTTTATAGTGGCAGGTACAATGATTTACCAGATAGCTTGAAATCAAAAGTACTAGTAGATAAATTAAATCGATTTTGGGGTTGCTTTCAGGCGCGCTATTAGTAGGTACACTAAACCCAATTCAAACTTCTTAGTAAGACTGCCTTAAGCAACGGCATTTTCTAAGCATCCCCTAGAAAACACTTTGTCTACAATTAATAGGTTTTTTTTCGCTTAACGACGACCATTCCTTGAGGTTTTGCAAGCAGAATCGAATTTCCAATTCCTTGAATCATAATTACCGGGAATCCAGATTTTCCAAAGTTGGACGACTAGAGGGTAGATTTTAGACGCCGTATGCTTAAGGTAAATTGTATTTTTTACGATTTGTATTCAGTACCAACCGCTTTACTTTAAGAGGTTGCGTATTTTAGGGCTTTGTAAAATGATGGGAATTTGGAAATTCCAATCCGTTCCGAGGATATAAAAAAAACAAATTACCCTTATTCGTTTTTATTTTTCGGTGATCATAAATTTTCACTGCGACGTTTCGTCTTTGAGAAACCATCACCAACTACATGTCATTTACAGGAACCGTCAATTAATTATTTTGACGTTTTGTCAACGCCTACTACACCAAAATGTTAAAAATTTAATGACAATCCTTTGTTCCTTCCTTTCTTGGTGTAGTAGGCGTTGACAAAATGATGACATAATACAGAATCCTATTGTGCACTACATCGTTATTAGTTCGCCACTATTACTAGATATACATTGAAACGTATTACCTAGATGTTCTAGACTTAAATTTCATGTATTATATGGCAACGTGAATTTTGTCACAATAGATATCAATCACATTAGCTGGATGTATGAGAAACATGCTGTAAATTGAAATAGAAAATGCATTTTATTCCCTACGGCGCGGCACTGGGAAAAATTTTACTGGAATTGTCTTCAACCTTTTTACGGGTTGCCGTTTTATTTATAATTTTATTACCATCTCGTATAGAAAAATATGCGAAGGGGAATCTCGAGTAGGTTTCATAATGACAGCCAGAGGGAGAGCGCGAGTTAAATAGTAAATAGCTGTGATAAAAACAGACGCGAGTCGTCAAGTTTGCGTTGGTTCCGTTTCGGTTTTCCGGAACGGCGCAATTTACCAATTAAGATAGATGGCGGGGATTGCGGAGAGTGCCTAATGGTTGCGAGCGGTAACGGAAATCCGGTTCCGTTTTGGATTTTCTAAGCGACTCTGATAAGAAAGGAAAAAGGTAAGAGATTTATATTTTGTATAATTTATAATTAAATTGATATACACAATCTTATAAAAAATGCAAATAACGCAACTAGTTACAAAGTCGATTGTAACGGGGACCCGCTGGCTTATTTTATTTTAATTTGTTTTATTTTTATTTGGGTTGAAATAAATTTGAATGGAGACAGCCAGACGGGATAGCGTGGGTTAGAGAGTAAATTGCTGCGATAAGAACAGACGCGAGTCGTCAAGTTTGCGTTGGTTCCGTTTCTATTATCCAAAAATTTACCAATAACGACAGATGGTTGCGGTTGGCGGAGAATGCTGCGGAGAGTGCCGAATCATTACGGGTACCTACTGACGGAAATCTAGTTCCTTTCGGATTTTCTAAGTGGCAGGTTTGCGCAAATGCTCATTGATTCTTGAAAAACCTCTCCATTGATTTCTAATGGGTACTTTAAGTTTGCTCGTACGTTATTTCTTAACAAAACGCTGAAAATACAGGTGAACATTATACTCAAGAGTTTTAACCTGCACTTTTTAATTTTAAACTCATTAACGATTCACTAGACTTCAGCTATTTTTCGGCCAAAAAGTTCGTCTGTTAGGAGGATAACGTTTTTGTCACTGCCTATACTACGCAATATTGGGCAAAATATCTCGTAGATGAAATCAATTTTGTAACGTTAAATTAGTATCACACTCTGTGTACGAAGACGAAGGTAACCTGATCTGATACTATTATGGACTTAGTTTAATTAAACAATTGCGTTAGTAACATCAGTTCATTTAATTATAACTGCCCCACTTCAAACTCCGGTATAATTAAGAGGACTTTACGAGGTCAATTTTCCACCGTGTCCAAATGGTTTTCCTTTTTTGGTGTAATGTTTAAGATTTCTGTATCTACTAGTATCTGAATGATAGCGGAAATACACGCCTTTCCAAATAGCAAACAGAAATTAAGTTGTGTCTACCTCACGATGATGAAATTGTTCAAACACCATCAGCCAAAACTTGATTTTGGCGTAGTCGTGCAAACATCTTCTAATATAATGAATGACCTACATACTCTACCTAAAAACTGACATAATGGAGATTAAGCAAACCATTTTGTTCCATCGTAAATTCCGCAAACCGAAATTGGTTCGCAAATTTAATCACTTCCGAAATAGTTATTGTCAAATATTTGAATGGAGGATCTCAAATTGAATTTTAAAGCCCTGATTCGATTTTAGTACGGCCGCGTCCGAATGTTTGGAATAACAACATTTCTTTGCAAACTTTCGCAGATGTTAAGCGAATGTGAAATACTCTGAAACCGACCGCGGTGGTCTGCCATTTCGCATTTCAAATTGATTAAAAAGCTTCCGTCGTGGTCTTAATGGAAGGCAAATTCCTGAATTAAAATAATAGAACCCGGGGAGGTGTGAGGAATTTAATATCATTTAAGTATACTGCAGAAAGACAGTTAAATATCTGACAATTAAGGTTCTGTTTGTCTTGCTCATTAGTAACGGATAGATAATTCGAACAAATAGCAAGCAAAAAAAGTCGTTATTAGGACACTAGTTTCATTTTTATGCATTTAGCAAATAGCACATCTCCCTGTGTCCTGTTTAGTTAGAGGATGTTATCGCTATAGACTGGCCATTTTGTTGTACAGAAAAAGGTTTATTTAGGAAAATGTACGTGTACTACATAACCTATACCTGCTTCAGAATAACTAACTACTAATACTAAAAGGTACTGTACAGTGAGCGTACCATATTTTTAGAATTTTTTTTAAGAATTAAAGGGAGTGGAACTAGTTTTATCCTTCATGGTACTCTAATAAAAGGTCTCAACGAAAGGAATTAATTTCTACCAACCGTAGCCCTCCTCCTCGACCTCTTGTCGTGATCGGGTATATTCTCTTATACCTCAAGAACGGATTGTCGGAAAAGGGTACTCACAAAGGGCGATTGAGACGTCTTCAAGAAATATATCCATTGGTGATATCAAAACAATAATAATAATAATATTGCCTTTATTAAAAAAAAACAAGAAAAATAAACAACAGATAAGTTTAGTACAATGCGAAGTTCAGATTAGCAGTAAAATAATGCCATCTGTTCTTAAAACAAAAGCTAGGGTTGTGCACAATTTATACGGAAACTATACAGAGTGCGTCAAAAAGTAGATTTTGATACAAAAATTGATTTTTTTAAATCGTACAGTACTTTTAAAATTCATTTTCAAATTTATTATATTTATTATGCGTAGAATTTGACACAGAATTCGAAAATGGATTGTAAAAAATAGGTACCTACTTTTCCATTTAGAAAAATGAACCTTGGTATCAAAATTACTTTTTGACCCACCCTGTATATTTTCTTTTTTGTGGAAAAAATGCGCAAGAACAAATAATGATAAACGTATGCGAGCATTTT